TGGAGAAGCTGTTACAGGATTCAGCAACAGAAAACATATCAGACAGGCTACAACGTGTGTGGAAATTGGAGCAGCCCTTTAAATGAGGCTCAGCAGAGTGACAGTCCCATCTCTATCTTTTGCAGAGAAAAGCAAGCCACACTATTAGCAGTGTGCAGGGAAATTGTATAGTGATAACCTAGTAAAAACTGATGCTCCATTTACCTGGGTTCTGTTAATCTTCACAATCCATCCACCATTATGGAACCCTTAGGCTGGACCGCCAGAAGATTAGGGAACAAAATCCCAAGGGACCTGGTCACCCTGGCGGGACTGGTGAGCTGTGCAATATGCTACTGGTGGGCAGCTGTCTACAGAAAGGGAAGGGAAGGATGGGGTGTGGCCTTGGGTCAATCACACTCTTCAGTCTACCTTACCTCAGAGAATTGTTTTAAATGCAATCTAAGCTCCTTTGATGATGCCTCGGATATAATTGAAAGGATGCCTAAGCAGAAATCCTGGACAAAAGCAAAGCCTGGATTCTTACCTCAAGGCATGTCATGCCAGTCATCAGTTACCAATCAAACACAAGACAAAGACTTATTCCAAACACAAAATTTATAAGTCCACAAAACTCCATGTGGAAAGATTTTTGACATTATACCCCATTCATTTCTAGCCAACCCCAATCATTTCCCCCCACAGGGTTCCTGACGCTTTTGTGGTCATCAGTGCAATTTTCTAGAGATAGAAAATGTGAGCAGGACATGCCTTTTTCACAGCAGAGTGGCCTCAGGGTTGCCAAAAGCCATTAGAGCCACCCAGACAAATGTCCCTCTGCCCCCCTGTGTTATTAAACCTAAATTTTATATGGAAAACAACTGCATGATTTGCCTGTCTCTGAAGGCCCCTGAGTGAGTTGAGTCCCTGCAATTTTGCCCCCTTAGTCCCACTTCTTGGTGGCCCTCTGAATACACCATTTCTCTCAGCAGGATCCGTCTTTGACAGTTGACTTTAGGAGCACAGCTATGAAATTGGTTGTCTGCCAGTCATCAGTTACCAATCAAACACAAGACAAAGACTTATTCCAAACACAAAATTTACAACTCCACAAAACTCCATGTGGAAAGATTTTTGACATTATACCCCATTCATTTCAAGCCAACCCCAATCATTTTCCCCCACAGGGTTCCTGATGCTTTTGTGGTCATCAGTGCAATTTTTTAGAGATAGAAAATGTGAGCAGGACATACCTTTTTCACAGCAGAGTAGCCTTAGGGTTGCCAAAAGCCATTAGAGCCACCCAGACAAATGTCCCTCTGCCCCCCTGTGTTATTAAACCTAAATTTTATATGGAAAACAACTGCATGATTTGCCTGTCTCTGAAGGCCCCTGAGTGAGTTGAGTCCCTGCAATTTTGCCCCCTTAGTCCCACTTCTTGGTGGCCCTCTGAATACACCATTTCTCTCAGCAGGATCCGTCTTTGACAGTTGACTTTAGGAGCACAGCTATGAAATTGGTTGTCCTTAAGAGGTACAGAAGTTCTGATCTCAAGAAAGACTTGGAAGTGTTGTACACAATTATTTAATTGCACGGGGCAAATGCCCTATTGAGAATCAGACTCAATAATTTATTTTCTTTCGTTTGAAAAATTTCTATCCTGCCTTATTTCCTGTGACTCAAGATGGCACAAGGAAACATGGGATAAAAATATTTAAATAAACAAATAAATATATTTGGTAATAAAGCCGTGTCATATAGTTTCCCATGCATTTGTCATCATATGCTCACAGTATAATCAGTTGTAAGTACTGGAAACGTTTGCATTTGTTTCTGAAGCCACTGCTCACATTCCAGAACCCTATGAGTGCCTAGGGCTCCCAAGTCAATTGTGCAGTTCTAAAGTCACCCTCACACAAGAAGAATGTTCACTTTTAATAGCCAGCTATATGTAAGCCCTTCTTGTCTGTACAATTCCCATTTGCTATGTTGCAGCTCTGGACTTTAGTCAACAAGTATTCCAGTCCTCAAATACTCAAGTGCAGGTTTCTGCAATGTATTCCAAAACACAACCACCAGCAAATAAGACAGGGTCCTTGAAATACTCAAGAGACATCTCAGGAAATGTGGGGGGGGGATGACTATATAAATTAACACAAAGAGAGGGGAAATCCTCAAAAACAAACAGGATGAGACCTGAAAATGCTGCAGAAGGGACAGAATGTCAAGAGCAGCTCAGCATCAGTTAAAGGAAAATGGGGGAGGGGTCAAATTATTCAAGATCCTGAGACCACAGAGCAGTCCCGTAGCCAAACATTTTCGGGGGGGGATAGGGGGCAGTTTAGCATGATGGCTAAACCTGCCAACAGGGGATGGGGGTAGACTTATGGGAGCTAACAAGGGGTTGGGGGAATTAATTAAGGTAATGGGATTGGGGGTGAGGGAAAGGGAGGAGGAGGAGGAGCAATGCTCACGATGATGGCTGCAGCTGGACACTGGGTGGCGGTGGCAGTTCCTCCTCCTCTGTCTTCCTCCTGGCTTCTCTCTGGGGCAGCTGAGATGGGACTTCTTCCTTCTCCATGCAATGTGACTCTGAGAGAGGGCTTCCCTTGCCACCAAGATTGGGATGCTCCCGTCCTTCAGAAGAGAGGTCCCAGCTTGCCGCAGCAGCCACTACAAAACATCACTGTGCCACTCCCACCTTTTCCTCTTCATCTCTGAGTCCTCAGGCAGCTCCGGCTGCACTCACTTCCGGCGTGCAGGCCTCGCCTGCCTGGCCACGCCTCCCCACTGTCTCCCGCTGTCTCCATCTTTGCCTCCCGTGGCAGCTGCCCCATTCATGCCACTGTTCACACAACAACGTCGCAGCTGAATCACTCTGCTTGATGGCAACTGCGGGGGGAGGTCTGGCATGATCCCTGAGAGGGTTGGGCACATCCGTGAGGAGGTATAGCCCCTGTCAGCCCCCCCCCCCCCCCCCCAAAAAAAAACCACAGAGGATCCTGGAAAGGGAGATTTGGCAGGGATTGGGATGCAATTTCCAAATTGTTTCCCCTGCCAGCAGTTCTGCTGTTTCTATTTCTCCATTAAATGCTACACACACACACACACACCAAGCTTATAAATCTAAACCAAATCTCTAGCTCCTTAGTGTTAACTACATTTGTGTGTATGTGGAAAGATGGGTACATAGACTGATAACCAGCATGGCATGATAAGAACCATGTATCCTGTTCCTTCTGTTTTTCTCTGTAATATATGTCCCAGGAGGGACCTTATAGGCTCACCTCCATTCTTTCACATGACATAACTCAAATGAGAAAGACTTAGCTAGACGTTATGCTTGCAGTTTGAAAAATAATAGAGGTGATTTTAAAAAAGCTCTCGTCAGTGTTTACAGAAGGGAATGCGCCCCCCCTCCAAATAGCTAAAAATAACCTAATCAGGTTTGGCCTTTGAAACCATCAGGGGGGTAAATAGACTCTTAATATATACGCCTGTGTCAGCATAATCATCACTCCTTTTTAAAAAAAAAAAAAGGATTGTGATGATGGAAGAGTTTAGCATTTAGAGCTCATTAAGCTGACACGATGTTGAGCGGCAGGTCACTATCAGTTTGCAGAGTTTTTCTGCATCCCATCATTGTCTTTCAAGGCAATCTGACAGTGCCCTCTGGCTTCTTCTCTCTTTTTCTCCCTTGCTTGGCCATTATGGAGGATTTGAGATACTGTATCTGTGTATGTAACTATTTTAAAATGTCATATAACAATATCCACTTAGATCAGTATTGTAGAACACTATGCTCTAATATGCCACCTATTGATTCTGTTCTGGAAATATGTTTAGTAGGAGTCCAAATTTTCATATTACAGTGATAAACCTATGACCCTTCAAGGGGTCTGTTGAAAGTATTAGCATAAGAATCCTTCAAATATCTCTCTCTGCATAATTTGCTCCCATGCTTTAAGCTCTGTTTATGGTGGAGGCACTTGATCACCAACTAGCCTAGCGCCCACGCTTTAAGCTCTGTTTATGGAGGCACTTGATCACCAACTAGCCTAGCTTAAGCAAAATTTATTTTCCTCCACACACTGAGATGGTACTGGTGATTCTAGGCCCTGGGCCAAATCCGTGATGATGCCCCAGAATGATTACCACACGCTGCCATAAACCCCACCATGCCTACCCCCTGCCACTGAGCTCCAAGTAAGCGGCATCCCTTGCCCTGTGTGAAATGGGCAGGAGCCACTGCTGCCTCCAAAAGCCAGCTGCCTGAGCCCCAGATGGAGCAGGTATGTGCAGCTGCTGCTGCCAAGCTGGCTGTCCCACTCTATTAGGGGGTGAGGTAACGGTATGTTGGAGACCACCCAGTGTGAAGACTGGTTCAGCTGCCCCCGTCGCCCATCAGTTAAGACCACCCCTGTCCATACACACTTCCATAATTTCTGTGTATCCACTGGGCACTGCCTGCAGAGGATGAGAAAACACAGAAAATCAGTATGTCACTGCAAGACTAACAAATTCCCCTGAAGAAGCCTGTTGGTGAAATGCACTGGGAAAGGGTTCTTCAGCATTTCCTTTTCTGGCATGTTCTAGAATTACTTCTTTCAGTCGAGCATCCCAAGGAAATTTGATGCCAGAGGAAGAAAATCATGGCATTTGCTGATTGTGAATGTGTATACTAAGTAATTTATTATTTCCCTCTATTCAGTAATGCTGAGGTGTAGCATTGTGATTATGCCCAGTGGGATCAGGTGGGCTGTTAGGTAGCTGCTGCCTTAGCTCCCCCTAAGCTGTGGAGTCTTGTGGGCAAAAATTCTACTTTGTGAGCTAGTGGCATTAAAGTTGTGAGCAAGCCATTTGGCTACTGCATCAATTAATTTGCTCTGAAGCCATCCTTCCTGAGCTAAGGCAAAAATGTGTGAGCCGGAGGCTAAAAAACTACGAGCTAGCTCACACCCACTCAGCTTAGAGGGACCACTGCCTGCTGCTGACTTTATCCATCTCTTTGCTTCACACAGGTACATTCAAGGGGCTTCATCTCCGAAGGACATGGTGATCATTGTGGATGTGTAAGTGCCCCTGGCAAGAAGCCTGTGGCAAACCTTTTTCCCATCTGTTTTTACTGTTTTTCCATAGTCAGCTACTTTCAGTGACATATTTGTCTGTTCTGTCCAAAGGCCCAAATTTATCATGTAGTTTTATCATGTCCCAGTAGAAAAGCTGCTACATTTCAAAGGCATGAAGGGAGCTGATTTGTATGTATGTTACTGTGCATGGTATTCACCTCCACAACAAAGGAAAGATCCCAAAAAGGAAAGAGAGACAGTGGTAGAGAGACTTGATTTCTCCCTCAGATCTTGTAGTAACTGGCCTGGCAACAACAGCTATGTCTTTTCTTCCTTGACAGGAGTGGCAGTGTTAGTGGTCTAACGCTGAAGCTAATGAAGACATCCGTGTACGACATGCTGGACACACTCTCCGATGACGACTATGTTAATGTGGCTTCAGTAAGTACCCAACCTGTGAACAGAGGAAGAACAAGAGATAGATTGCAGAGGTGGAAGGAAAGGAGGTGTCCTGTGGCATACACTTCCTTCTTCTCCTACATATCTCTTTCTTCCCCTGTTACTCTTGTCTTAGTCTTCCTTCCTTAACCCAGTCACTAAAAACATAATAGGAATGAGAATTTTGTTAATTTGGGTGGGGTGTGTAAAATAAGAAAATATGCAGATTTCTACAATGTATTCCAAAACTGGTCCTGATTTTCAAGGTACAAACTTTGGAATTAAAGGGGGAAAACAGACTTCTAGGCATCTTCTCTTGATTATAGATTCCAGTTGTAAGAGAAGGATTTGGCTCCTATTGCATTGTGCTTAAGTTCCTCACTATATGCATTCTGACTTAGTTATAAATGGCAATGAACAGTATATATTGTTGTTTAGGAAAGAGGTAAATTGAGTGGCACTAATTATACTGTAACCTTTCTTTACTGCCAGCCGTCACACTGTGGTGTTATGCAGATAGTCTGTATAGGCAACTAACCTCAGTGCTCCTCAGTGCTAAGTGACTGTGGATCACTTAGATGCTAAATAACTGCGTAACTGAGCTGAGAGCTGTGTGTACAAGTCTATAAGGCATTGTTACACAGTAATTTCTATGTTCTGTACTTTTAAGTGCCTCTAATTGCAGACTTTTTCTTTACTGCAAAAGATCCAAAAGTGGCAGTAAAGATGCATGTGGGGGGCTGCAGGATAATTAAAGGGCGAGATATGCTTTGACATTGCTGCAGCACACCATTGTTCCAAATATGGGTTTGGATGGTCAGGACGGTCAGGACATTTGTATCTGAGTAAAAGGAGGGCAAAGGTGTTATATCAGCTTCTCCCTTCTCTGCTTCTCATTTGGAGAAATCTTCTTGTGCTTGGTATTTGCCAGGGAAGAGCAGATTTCTTAGGGTTGCCAGCCTCCAGGTGGGGCCTGGGGATCTCCGGCTTTTACAACTGATCTCCAGCTGACAGAGATCAGCTCTCCTTGAGAAAATGGTTACTTTGAAGGGTGGACTCTATGGCATTGTACCATGCTGAGGCCCCTCCCCTCCTCAAACCCTGCCCTCTCCTGGATCCACCCCCAAAGAATACTTGATTTTCCAACCCAGACCTGGCAACCCTATGATTCCTTCAGCTGCATACCATTCTTGCTCCATAGTTCCAAAAGAAAGGGGATTTTGAGGAAATTGATAATGATTCCCTGCTAAAGAAAGGTTTCATTTTTAAAAGTTTATGTTTTTAAAATGAAAGAAACGGCTTCCCCCTGCCTTCTCAGAGTAGTTCAGCACAGTACTCTTGTACAAAAGAAAAACAGCAGACTTTCGAAACAACCCCCCTGTGAGCTAAACGAAACACGAAATATTTTTCCAGTGCCCAATAGTTTGAGGAGGGTGTGTTGTTTTTGTGTTTTTATGCTGCAGAGCAGGGTTCCCCAACATAGCGCCCATGGGTGCCATGGCTAGGGTTGCCAAGTTGAAAAATCGCCGCAGCGGGGGACTTTCGTCCAGTGACTGGTGCGCGCACATGTCACCCGGAAGTGACGTTAGGACGCCGGGCACGCTGGGGGCAGGGCCACGACCATCCAAGGGAACACCATAGAGTTTTCTGTCAGATGACCGTGGCCCCGCCCCCAGCGTGCCCGGTGTGGTCGTGTCACTTTCGGGTGATGCGCATGTTGGGGTGGGGCTCCCCCCGGGTCTGGATCCGCCAGCGGCGGGGAACGGGCCTCTGGGGCAGTGGTTTCCCCGCCCCCCAGGGGGACTTGGGAAGCCTAGCCATAGCAGCCACCGACACCTTTTCTGGTGCCCACCAAGTGTTTTTAGAAAGTGAGTGTGGCCAGGTGGGTATTATGCCCAGGAAAGCTTCTGATCAGCCACTGGAGATTTGACTGGCTGTACAGATTTTTAAAGACATTGTTTGGGCAGCAACTGCCACCACAGCACAAGAATCTTCATGGTGTGACTGAAGGGAAACTCTGGCAACCATTTTGTGGCTACACCCACCATGCTATGTCAGAATTCCAAATCTGCCCACAGAATGAAAAAGGTTGGAGTTCCCTACAACAGAGAAACACAAATGTGCTCTTTTGCAATATAAAGCAAAAACACCCATCCAAAATTAACCCTTTGTTTGCTGAAAGTATTACTGTTTCAGAGCACAAGGGCTTAATTTTGAGCATGTTTCTATTATTATTGTATGTGTGTTTCATTAAAAAAAGGAAATAAATATTTTTTGGCATACAAATTTACTTTTTGAAGAGGTTAGTTTTTATTTTTATTTCATTTCTATGTATTTCTTTTTTAAAAACCTCTTTTTGCAAATTCCAGAAATATAACTCTGGAAAAACCCAGATTACGCAATGAATGAGTTCTGCTCCACAAATATTTCTAATATGGAACCCCAAAATCGAGAGAGACATTTGGCAAGATTCTCCCTAATATTTTCTCCATCGCTTATATTCAAGGAGAATGTGTTTGTGATGCATGCTAGGCAGACTGGTTAACTTTTCAGCATCCAGATGGCCACAGGTTCATAGATCAAGATGGGTAGTCGTGTTAGTCTATCTGTAGCAGTAGAGATCTTGCCAAATGTATTTCTAGATTTTGGGGTTCCATATTAGATTTTCCTTGATGGTTCAGTGACATCTCCCCATGATGTCTCAATTTGATTATCAAACCTATTTTGACTGTTGGCCATTGCTTTGTACTTTTAACTTTTCCATAGAAAACTATTCAGGTATACATTCTATTTCAAATCTCACTCCAGTTGTTCACAAATAATATAGCTTTGTTTCCACAGTAATGCAGCACTTTTAAGTTCCTTTAGCCTGAGGAATACTTACCACTTTGGTCTATCAAGACAGTCAATCCAATTAAATATATCAACTGAACCATACTTGACTGTATTTGCCTTTTCTGCATAACACATACCACAAACCCCTCTGCTCCTGTCATTCCTGAATCACTTGCATACATTTGGTTGAAGCAAATGCCTCACACAGAAAGTCACTGAGGACTGATGTACAGTCTGTTAATAGTCACGTATTTTGGTGTAATATAACAAAATGATGTTGAAAGCCCAGTGTCCCTAGACAGGTTGCTCTTTTAGTTCATTCTCCTTCATAATGGCTCGCCAGTACCATGTTGGGAAAGCATTCAGTGCATGTGACATTTGCTCAGATTTTCTTCCATTCAGTCTGTGTGGTTCATCAAAAGGTGTAATGGTACTGGGAAGGGGTAGAAAAAGGCAGAATGGCCAACAACTCAGGAGCGAGGGAGGCATTTCACTGATAGGTGAACTGCATAATCAACAACCCTGATCTCTGGGGTTTATGTGGAGCTCCAATGCCTGCTCTTAACACTTAACAGCCTCCAGGAGTTAAATAACCACTTCTCTAGAAAATGAGTTCTGAAAGCATCTCAGACCAAAATGCCACATCAGCCCTGTGAAAATAAGTGTGATCTTTATTTTGCTTTATTTATTTCTTTGTATAATGGGAAAGAAGAGGGAGATGCCTGGCAGAGGCAATGGCCTCTGCCTCGTGCAGTTCCTGCAGCCAAATTTACCATTTCTGTCACCTTTCCTTTTCCTGCACTCCAGACTGTTCTCTGCCTTTGATCGATTGCAAATGACAAAACACACCTGCAAGAAATAAATTACATCCTTCCACTGCCATTTCCCCCATGCCAGCTTTAACAGACTACTCTGTTTGTGAGAGATGTTCATTGTAGTGAGGGCTAAGGAGATGATGGCAAGGAAAGAGAAGGGAAGACTTTGGCAGAGAGGCAGACAGTCACGTCAGGTTAGCTAGCGTCAGAGGTCATGCTTCTTGGTGGACCTGCGGTAACGTTGGCCAAACAGCCCTGAATAATTTTGGTTTCCCAAACAAACAACATGTAGACTGAAATACGAGAAATTAGCAGAGTGGGTTTCTTGTAATTCGTGGTATAAGTGAGGGTACTTCACTTTTAACTCATAAATGATCCAGCCTAGTTTGCAAAAATATGGATTTTTTTTCCCCCTTGGACACTGGTATAGCTCCCTTTCTGCCCACTGTTGTAAGAAATAGATTAAAATTCACAGATCCTTCCAAGAATTTTAAGGACTCAAGGAACACACTTTCCCCCCCTCTCACACACATACCCATCACTATGGCCCTTGATGGACACATTGAGAAATATATCCAGGATACATACCAGACCAAATGGAACTAGAAAAGTCCATGTGGCATAATGGACAGAGAGTTGGATGTGGATTTGGGCGTTCCAGGCTCAATTTGCTGTTCAGCCATGAAGCTCACCTGGAGGCCTTGTACAGTTCACTGTGCCATCACAGCCTCATAGGATTGTCATGAGGCCCACACATATAACCCTGAGTTCCTTGGAAGAAAATCAGGTTAAATTGTGATAGAGAACATGTTTTCACTGTATATGCTGCCAATCAATGTCCCTTTGGGCTATAATATCTTCCTTCTAAAAGACAGGTCAGTCACAAGCAAAACAGCAACCACCCAGGATTTAATTCTGGATGAGAAAGCTGACCTGGCAGCTATCACTTGGAGATGGGGGAGGAGTTAACCTTTCCCAGCTGTGCTCCCCAGGATACCCAGTGATGCATCAGAATCAGTCTAGTGGGCTGGTTTGAAGAGTCCATACCTGATGTTGGGACTGCAAGACAGGATTGGGATTCTGTTGCTGTGCCATCCACCCTGCTGCCCATCTGTTTCCCTGTCTAAGCTGGTGGAGGTGGGTTCAGGGATGGTGTTGAAGACTTCTAGGCTGGTTGTTTTGGAAGACTTCAGTATCCATGCTGAGGCTACCTTGTCAAGAACAGCTCAGGATTTCATGGTCTCCAGTTTCCACTCTCAGGAAATATCAAGCCCACATACTGTGTAGGTCACACTCTTGATCTGGTGTTTCCCTGTGGGAAGAAAGAAGATGATCTGAAACTGGGGAATTGAA